CCCCCCGACGATGGCATGTGAGCTCTTCCTCCTCTCCTCCATCTGGTTCCTCTTCATCATCTTCTGGTTGGAGACCATCAGCGTGTGGCTCTTCCTGTGCAACTTCTACCAGGACCGAGCCTTTTACCACTGGGGCGAGCGGTGAGGCCCCTGGGGGGGGCATGAGGGGTAGGAACCCTGCTCACCCCCTGAAACCAGCACCCAGGAGCACCCCAAGGCTGGCATCCGGGGTGGGAGCCACCATGGCCTCGCTGAGACAGCAGGTCCTGGGTACCGTGGCAGGGATGGTGGCTTCAGGACGGCACCTGGGCTAATCATGGCCCCAGTACCTTGGCTGCGCGCTGCTCACAACTGCTCTCCCCTCCTGGCCCAGGGTGCTCCTCACTGACCCCGGACACGTGCTCTATGTCTTCGTGAGCTGAGCCATTGCTCCCCAGCGAAGCGATGCCCTGCAGGACCGAGGACGAATGTCTGCGACACACGGGCAGCTGAAGGCGGCGAGGCCCCAAGGGGTCCCAGGGCCACCTGCAAGCCCATGGTGCTGGGAAGGGGGTAGCTGCTGCCCCCAGTGCAGCCCAGGATGAGCAGGGCAGGCTTTGTCCCCCCCAAGCCCAGCGCAAGGACACCTATGGAAGCTTGGATACCCAAGTGTTGGGACTAAGGGCCTAATCCAGGCAGCAGGAGAGCAGAGGAGCAAATAAAGAGCTTGACTTGCACATGCTGGTGCCCCTCAGCCCCCTGGGGCTGGGACCAAGGCTCACAGCACAAGGGTTATGTCTGGGCTCTGTCAGCTGCACAGCTCCTGGCCTGCCTGAGGAAGCCAGACCTGATGAGGAATGTGGTTCACATCTCCCTTTATTCAGAGAAATTCCTCTAATGTGTAAAAAAAAAAAAAAAATTAAAAACTAGACCCGACAGATCAGACACATCAACAATGGTCACAAATACCCCAGATGAAGCACCCCAAGAGAAAGCAAAGGAGGGGCTGCTGCAGGACCCAGGGGCTTGGGCTCAGCCTGGGCTGTCACACTGGGAGAGTGGGGCCAGCACAAGGCCCCCCACGGCAGCACACAGCAGTAGGACCAGTGTTAAGGCACATCGGAAAGGGGCAGCCCCAGGGCTGAGCCAAATGGGGGTCCCCATGTCCACCCCACTGAACCAGCTGGTGGGCTGCAGAGGGCTCATGCCCAGCTCCAAGAAGCTCGAGGAAACCTGACAGATGGGAGAGGAGGGCAAGTTACAGCCTTTCCCTGGAGCTGGGGCCCTGCAGTGGACAGCAAGGCGCGAGGCCCCACGGACCTAACGAGCCGAGCAGGCTCTGTGAGGATGCTGCAGCTATTCACATAGCCACCCCAGGCTGGAGAGCGCTGCAGCCTGGCTGTCCGAGGCACCTGCAAGGCCAGCTGCAGCCCTACACAGCGCTCAGAGATGGGTCTGAACATGCGTAAAGCCACGAGGATACGGCCCCACCAGCGCAAGCTGTGAACTGGGAAGGAGCCACCTTGGGAGAGGAGAAACTAGGTCCAGCTGGTTGCCGTGCAGAGCTGTGCCGGCGTTTCTATCTGTAGGCATGCCTCTATCAGACACCATGATGCTACCAGCCCAGGCAATGGGGTCCTCTGCACACACAGGGCCTGGGAGCTGCAGGACCTCAGCCACTTTCAGGTACTGACAAGCTCCAGGCAGCGAGCAAACCCACGCAGTGGGGAAGCTAGACTGGAGCAGGACCCACTTCTTTGCACTGCACAGTGGGTGCAGGGGACACAGCAGGGGACCCCTCGAGCAGGCACTTGTGTGCAGGGGCTGAGGCAGAGCATGGAGCACTGGGGCAGGAGGGGGTTGCTGGCACCATCTGAGATGCCCATGACTTTCACTATTGATTTACAACAATCATTTAGTTACAAAATAATTAAAAAAATGCCCCCTCAAAAAAATAAGAAAAAGAATGAAGTCAGAGCCGAGGTGCCTGAAATGCACCTCAGAAACAGCTCTACCCAGCCCGAGAAGTTTACAGCTAGCAGCCCAGTGTGCGAGGGTTGAATTCACCCTCTCTGGAGACAGACACAGGGGCCATTCTCTATTATGTACATGCCCAGGCCCAGCTCAGCACGAGCTTGGGGCCCGAGACGTAGGGGGCTGTGGAGCAAGCAGCCTTCAGAGCGTGTAAGCGTTGCTCATCAGGTATTCCTTGTCGTCCAGGGGGCTCCAGCCTGTGCCTGCTGTCAGCTCCGGGTTCTTCCTGCACATCTTGACAGAGACGTCAATCATGTAGCCCAGCAGGATGGCTGCCAGGATGGCCAGCAGCACCGCAAGAGCCATGGCTGGGGAGGAAAGCAGGGCAAGGTTACAGAGTCCAGATTGCCCCAGAGGAGTCCTGTGGGGCTCAGGAGATCACGGGAGATGCAACGCTCATCCCCACAGCCTGAAACAGGCAGGTGCCTGCAGGCAGCAACCTGCAAAGGCCAACAGCTCTCTACCGCAGGGCCTTGCCCCAGCTCCTCTCCCTGGACCATGTTCCCCACCAGCCACCCCAGCCTGGCCCAGCACTGGCAGGGTTGCTGGTCTGCTTGCAGGCCTGGGGAGCCCTGGGGATTCCCCGGGGATGCCCCAAGGACGAGGGGCACAGGGGAGCTGTAGGGGGCTGGGTGACACTTACTTTTGGTGGAGAAGAGGTAAGAATGGAAATCTGGACCAGTGCTACCAGTGTTTCCTGAAAAGAAGGGAATAGGAGCGAGATGACCATTACAGTCAGGCATGGGAGAGGCTCCTGTGCCCCCCTGTCCTAGTTCAGACCCATCCTCACCCCTCTGTAAGCCTGACAGACCCAGCACAGGCACATGAGCAATGGGAAAACGGGCATGCCCTTGTTTCCAAGTGCAGCTGGGTTCATGCTGCTGGAGACATCTTCAAAAAGCCCCAATTTACGTGTTACTACAAGAGCTCAAGGGTCTGCTTGAGAAAGAACCTCAGGCAAATGGGGAGAGCCAGAGCAGCTTGAGGGATGCACATCCCGCTGCCCAGGTCCCATCTAGCCCATTGAAGACCAGCCACCCCAAGGAGGGATCTCTATCTCACCTGGCTCCCGGCTGCAGCGACGCATGCACTGCTCTTCCTTCTGGTAGTTGTTCTTGTTGCCCCGGCAGCCCCCATAGATGAACTGCTTGCAGGTGCGGTTGGCTGGGCTGTAGTACCATCGGAAGAATGAGGCACGGCATGGGCCAGTCACCTGGGGGACCATGCAGAACTCTGCGGAGAGCCAGGCAGGAAGAGGGAGACATAATTCACACAGTTGCGGTGGGCACAGACCTGAGCACAGGGACCAGGGGAGTTCTGCTTCTCCCAGAGCAACAGGGCGTTTCCCAACACCCCTCTGAACAGCAGCAGACTCAGGACTTACAGCCACAAAGCATTAACTGGCTTGACCAAGGCACAAGCCGAATGGTTGACCTGCACAGTCCTGAGCTGAAGACATTCTGGCAAGAGGGCGTTACACAGGGCCCACTTTGTGACTGCTTCTGCCTTTGCCCCTCAGCATGACAGGTGAGGGGCTGGACCTTCTCCGAGCACCACAGCAGAAGCGAGGAAGGCTCGACAGCTTTGCAAAGGCAGAATACAGCAGAGCATGTGTTTACCCCCAGAAAAACTCCCACCTCACTCAAAACACCGTCTCTTGTATCCCCCCTTTCCCCAGGGGGACGTCTAACAGCTCAGACTCTCAGCCAGCAGCTGGGTCACTCCATAACACAAGCATTTCCCTTTCAGAAGCACCACGACTACATCCCCCATGGTGTCTGTGTCCAGGCTCTGTTAGTCATGGCGCACAAGGTGGGGGATGAAAGGAACTTGGCATCTGCTTTGCAGCACTCCCACAGCCCACATCTGGCCTCGCAGCCCAGCCCAGGGAAAGCGGGATGTGAGCCTCAGAAGAACACAGTGAGACCTAACCTTCATAGCTGAAGGAGTCATTGGCCTGCTCAGCCCGATGTCCAGGCCTGTTCACAGCTGAGGAAAACAAAGAAAAACTGCAGGTTAGACAAGACTTTGCGGGTCAAACACACACTGCCAGGCTCATTAAGAAACCATCCTGAGCTGAATCCTGGCAGAAGACAGCTCAGCCGAGAGTCACTTCTGCACGGGGTGTGAAGGGACATCTCTAGACAGCCCAGGCTGGAGTCACAGGGGGGAGCAGGCAAAGTAAGATGGGGCTGTGGCACAGTGTTGCACCCTGGAGAGTTGAAGAGAGCCCTGAAGCGGGGAGCAGAGAGATTTAGACTACGGCCTCTTTCCCCAGAGGGATGGAGCAGCTGCCAGCAGGGGAGGACATGCCCACAGCCTGCGCCCCAGGGCCCAGCCCCGAATCACAAGCAGGGAACACGGACCCCACTGCAGAGCAGCAGACAGCTGTGAGCAGGTGAGCGGGTTTGCGGCACACCTCAGGCTCCTGCTGCAAGGACTTCCTGGTTCCCTGGAAGGTCATCGGGCTGTTCCTCCCCCGGGAGAGAAAGGCAGGAACAGCAGCACCCTGCGCTCTTCCCAATGGCCCACAGCTGCATGGGCAAAACACTCGAGGTCACTCCCCAGGGACAGTCCCAGCCAGCCCACGTACCGTCCGCGTTCTGGCCCTCCACTTTTCTGCTGGGCAGCGGGATCTCATTGGAGTCTTTCTCTCCTGGAAAGCAGAAGCACACATGTCAGAGTCAGGTCCAAGCCAGGCAAACCCCATGCTGGGGTGACCTGTGGCTGCTCTGCAGCAGTTACTGGAAGACCTGGGGGTCCTGACACTGGGCCTTTTGAGGGCAACATGAGAGCAGAAACCCCATATCATCCCCACTGCACTGGTCATGTCAAAAGCTTGCAGGAACCTGAGGAGAACCTGATCAAAGGGACACGAAGCCAAAGGTAAAGGTGCTGTTTGATGGAAAGTCAGCCCGCACTTTACACTGTGGCCTTGGGCCTCTTAATGGCAAGCCAGAGATTGCATCCTGTGTCTGCTCCTGCTGCTCTTTGCTCCCTCCTCAACTTCCTACCCAGCCCAACCTGAAGGGAGGCTGGCAAAGCTGAAGGAAGATGGTACAGGCAGGACTACCCTTCAGCTCTGATCAAAACATGCTGTTCCAACCCCAAACCTGGACACCCAGGCACGCAGCAAAGGCAGTTCCCCACCCACCCACCCCCCCGCCCCCCCCCCCCCCCCCCCCTGCCAGAGCCTAATTGTGGCTACCATTACTTGTTCCAGCCCCATGGCGATACCAGCTTGGCCGCCGCACAGCACACGATCTCCCTGGGCTCGTCAAGCACCCCAAGCCATGCCACAGCTGGGAGACCTCTTGCAAAGGCAGTGCGTTCCCCCAGCCCACCGCAGTACCCGGCCTGCAGCCTCACCCCCGTTCCGGACGCAGCTCGCCTGGCACTCCTGCTCCGTCATGAAGTTGTTGAGGTTGGCATTGCAGCCACCAAAGATGAAGCTTTGACACAAGCTGCTGGTGGCATTAAACCACCACCGTGGTATGGAAGCCCGGCATCTCCCAACCACCTTGGGCAACAGGCAGTGCTCTGAGGAGAGGAGAAAAAGGCTGTCAGCAACCAACCGCAACACTACTGAATTAACACCAAATCCCCTTGATGCTAGCTAGTGGAAAGCATAATGCTAGACGACCAGCTGGAGTTTTTGCACCAGCTACAGACAGCTCAGCATCCCTGCACGCACTTGCTGGGACCCCATGAAGAGCTCTCTGACATCCAAGTAACAGTTATTTATAGAGTTGCTTGCTCCGTTACTGGAGGGAACGCACGCACACCCTAGACCTTCCTGGTTCTCGCTCTGGACACAATGCTCCAGCCAGCACAGATTTGTCTAAAGGCTCCAGGAAAACACTCTGTGCTTGGAGCTCAGGAGAGCCAGGACATGACTGGAAAGGGGGAAGGCTGCCAGGAAGGCATTTATGGCTTCACAGCCAGGCCTCCTCAAGGACCCTTTCTGAAAGGCTAAAGGCAGAACGAGAAAGCCAATTTTACTCCCAAATGGCATCCAGATTAACTCGGTGGCCCGGACTAGTGTAGAGACTGGATTATGAGCCCCAAGTATCGTACTGCCCACGCAGGCAGAAATCCCCTTTCACTGCAGCACAGGAACCCAGAAAGCCATTGCAGTCCTACAAGCCAAAGCTCAAGATCACGACCAGCCCTCCCAGTTAGACACCATGCAGGTGGCTCCCTGCTCCCCACTTCTCCGCCAATGCCACTCGGCTGAAAATTCAGCAAAATTCAAGCACTGACACACCCCTCCTCCAGGAGCAGAGCGGAGGGAAGTCCACCTTAAGTTTGCAGAAGCCAGGGCACTCCGAGACAACAATAAACCAAAGAGCCAGAAACTTCCAGCTTAGACAAAGCCGGGCCTGTTTACTGAAATCCCCCACGGAGTGGCGTTGCGAAACTCCCCCGTCAGCCAGCTCGATGAGCTCCCAGATGCCTGGAAGATGAAGGGGCCGAGTGCCCAAGCCTGCACGCAGCCCTGCGTTACCCAGATATGCACCAGACAGCGCAGGCCAAGAAGCAGCACTACCCTGAGCAGGATTGCAGGGCAGGAAGAGCAAATGGGTCACGGCAGGGGAAGGGCAGCATGATCACACCCAGCCAGGCCGGGAGGTTTCTCCTCCCTAGGTTTAGGGCGGCAATAAGCTGCACAGGGAGCCACGGGGAGCTTTTGAGGGCTCTCACTGCTCTGTGTCCTCTCCACCCCCTCAACAGCAGGGTCAACCCTCCACATGCCTGCTTGGTGCCCACCATGACTTGCTCAGCACAAAGAACCGTTGGGACCCAGCTGCCCCAGGCCTGCTGCCTCCGCTGTGTTTCACAGTTACAGATGCTCCAGGTGCAGCACTCCAGGAAAGCTATCCGGATGGGACTTGATTTCCCAACTTAAAAGTGATGCAACACATTTAAAAAAAGATGTGTTGCTGGCTTTGAAACAGACAGAAAGCCAAGTCTGTTTGCCCTCCTCTATGCAAACTGCTCTTTTAGGAGCACAACAGAGAAGCTCAACATCTCCACCTAGCTTCTTCACTGAAGGAGGCCAAGTCCCACAACAGTCAATGAGGCTGCAGGGGAAAGCAGCTCCCCTTGCCAGAACAAAGCTCCGTATGGCGTCGCATCCCCTGGACCAAACATCTGGCGAGCACACATCGGCTCCAGCCAGCAGCGCCTGGGGAAGTCAGAGAACATGAGCTCAGGCAGCTGGCAGCTATTGTTGAGCATGAATGGTAGGAGGGCAGCGGAGCTGCAGGGCCCTCCCTGCCGTCCCCCCACGGGGCTGCGGCGCAGAGGAAGCCGGGCTCCCACGCGCCCTCTGTGCATGCATGCATCCCCAGCCCCAGCCTTTCCAGCCGGGGCAGGACACGCTCCCCAGTGACTCAGGCGCCTTGGCAAACGGCTGTCCAGAACAGGTCGGACAGGCTCGGCACAGCCTGGAGGCCATGGCGCCGCACAGCCTGCTGCCAATTCCTCTCCGGTCCAGGCTGGCTCCCTGGGCTGCAGATTCTTCCCCCCCAGACCCCGGCGAGTCAGGGCTCGTGGGGTTGCTGAAAACCCACCGCTGTCACCTTCTGGGATTGGAAAGCGCAGGCATTATGGAGCTCCTGTGAGCCTCATCACAGGCCTCCTTCCCCCACTAGATACAAACAGAACAAGACAATTCTTTATTGCAAGGGGCTCAAGTTACAGGGCTGGGGCCCGCATCCTCCAGTTCCTCATCTTTAAACATCTATTGTCAGGCTCCAGCTGCCTGGGAGAGGGGAACCGGCAGGTCAGAGTGGGGAGGTGCTGGCAGGTGAGTAATTGGGTTCTGACTCATAGCCTGCCTTGGCAAACTGGCACAAGACCACGCAGAAGCAATGGGGCGAGTCTCACACTTTTGTTTGTCTTGGATCCGGTTTTCAGCATGTTCTCCTCTGCAATCCCAGACAGTGAGCTTATAGAGGGAAGAGTGCAGGGGCTGCTCGGGGCCACAGCACAGCCACCCCGTGGGCACTGCTGAGCACCCAGGGAGTCCTTGGGTTTTGGGGAACGTCTCCTGCTCCAGACAGGGACTACAAGCTCCAAAGACCCAGGAGCCTCTAACAAACCCAACCCAGTTTAAAAGTGCAAGTTGCTTCCTGTTTATTACTGGAGTGAGAGATCTGAGGGCACTGACCAGCCGAGTGTCTGTCCCTCAAGGCCCCAGCCGCTCTCCGGGCGGCAGCTCCGGCCTGCGCTCACCCTTCAGCGCGTTCTGCATTTCTGCTCCTTTCAGGAGGGAGTGGAGGGACCCCACCGCCCCCAGGGCCACGCTGCACTGCTGATAACACAGCAGCCTACGGGGAGGAGACAGGATGTCCCCATGGCAGGACGGCAGCATGTTGCACAGGGTCTGACGACCAAGTAAGGCTGGGGTATACAGAAAACGTGGCAACGAATTACCCCAAATCAAAGTCCCAAAATGCAGGTGCAGAGGAACACGGGGATTCCCAAACCAGGTCCTGAGAGGTCAAGGTGACCTCTGAGCTTGGCGAAATTGTGCCTGAAGCGCTCAGGAGCAAACTCTCTGCATGTAAACACTGCAGATCTGAACCAAGAGCTGTTCCGCGTCCTAGGGCGCTGGAGCCCTTTTCTGCACAACATCACACACAGCCTCATGCAACAACAACCCTATCACCACCACAGCCACCAGCTAACAGCTCCAAGCCTGTAGGTGTTGGCCCTATTTTAGCTGCGGCTGCCAGAAGATCCCTAGCAACCTTACACTTTATGCACTAAACTCCTCAGGTAAGTTTTTTAATTTTTTTTTTTCATTAGACATTTTTTTCATTAGGCTTGATATCTCCCAAACCAGCAGGTGCTGGGCCCTTGCCAGGAAGCTGGATCAGAGCAGCGTTGCCCGGAGGAAGGAAGCTGCCCTGAGGCTCAGGCTGCCCCCCTGCGTGTTCGCGGGACGGGTGAAACAATCCTCTCTACCTGCCCCGCGGCGTAAGCGGCACTTGCAACTCGTAATTCTCCTCCATTATGAGACACCCCAGAGAGCATAGCACAAAGTATTTACACAGTCGTGAGGGGCTGCGATTACGACTCAAGAAGGAGAAAGTCTGCTGTGCCAAAGGCTCAGAGAGGCGTGCTGGAGAAGGGGATGTCTGAAACATAGGCTGCAGCAAACACCATGACTCACGCGCGCAGCGTCACTCTGAGGGCACTCTAAACCTCGAGCCTCTGTAAAACTGTCCCACAACAAAACGAACTGGAGCGCATCGGGGCTGCACTGGAGGTTCAGACCTGACTCACCCCTCTCCCGTGCCCCCCTCGTGCCCTGCCAGACTCTCGGTCAAACAGCCCCGGTGAGGCCACCCTGGCTGCCTTGCTAGTCCAAGGAAGCCTGCAGCCTCACGGAGTGACTGTGCTGCAGCTTCCGGGTGTCAAAACCCCTCTCTTCTACCCCTGTTTGCTTTATCAAAGACACCAGCATGACTCAAAAGCAGCTTTTCCCACCCCCTCTTCCCAAATGGGGAACAAACTAGGCAGGTTTAAAAGCAACAAAGAAGGAACAGAAACTCTTCCTGGACAAGAGAGGGAGAGTGCTCCCAGGCCGCAGACGCATGCATGCTCTCAGATGTGCAGCTGCGCTGTCCCACCCTCCCATTTTTCGGGAACCAGGAAGCGAGGCGGAAACCCAGCCAGAGGCACCTGCTGCCCCAGGCCTAAGATCCCCCCGCTCCGTGCGGCGGCTCTCACCTGCTGCCCA